GCAAGTGACTATGGGAATCTCTAGACTTAGCAAAGCAAGGTGTAATGTGATTAAGGAGATGGAAAATTTACTCTTAGTGTGGATAAAGGAGAAAGAAATGGCAGGTGATAGCATTAGTGAAGCAATAATTTGTGAGAAGGCCAGACAATTGTTTGAGGACCTTAAAGCCAAGACTCCCGTGCAAGTGATAGTGATGTGCCAGTGTTTATGGGTACCAAGGGGTGGTTTACTGGTTTCAGAAGGAGAAATAAAATACATAGTGTTGTGAGACATGGTGATGCTGCTAGTGCCGATAAGGAAGCAGCTAAGGAACACCATGACATTTTCTTGAATATTATTAAAGAGGGAGGCTTTGTTTCTCAGCAAGTATTCAACTGTGATGAAACTGGACTTTTTTGGAAAAAAATGCCTCGCCGTACATACATTACCAAGGAGGAAACTTGTCCTGCCGGCGTTTCTCAATGAAAGACAGGCGATTCTCCTTCTTTAGCACGTTTTGGTGACTGCAACAAGCCACCTTGTGTAACATGCAGAAAACCCGCCTTGGTGTTATTATGTGTGGTCAAACCCAAAGGTTTGGGTGACCAGGTGTTTATTCTCTGAGGGGTGATTGAGGTAAGCCGCACCCAGTGTTCGGGAATACTCAGGGAGAATAATCTTCCACTGAAAGCTTTGTTGGTGATGGACAATGCACCAGCCCACCCTCCTAATTTGATGGTTGAATTGCCAGAGAGTTCATCCTCCACTGTGCACTTTTGCCACCAACACAACACTCCTTCTCATCCAGGCCCATGGATCAACAGGTACTTCTAACTTTAAGAAGCTGTACACAAGACACTGTTTAGGAAAATGTTTTATATCGCACTTCTTCCAGTGATGTTATTTGAAGGAATTTTTGAAGAGTCACTAATATAGCAGACGCTTGTGTTTTTAATTACTCCCCAGCCTGGAAAGAGGTAAGCTACTGAGGTGTCTTTTGTGTTGCTTGGAGGCCATTGTGGCTCTGACAAAGCCTAAAGAGACTTTGAAGGCTTCAAGAGTTAGAAGAGGCTGTTGTTCACGAAATTGTGTGTCTGGGCAATTCCATGGGCCTGGAAGGGATGATGATGAGGAGGTAGGTGGAAGAGCACAGTATGAACTGTCCACTGAGAAGCTGCTTGAGCTTACAAAGAAGAAAATGAGACACTGAAGCGGAGCTTTAACTTCTGGAGGAGTCGAAGGATGAGGTGACAAGGAGGAAAGTTTGTTATTCCAGCCAAAGATCTCAAGGATGTGCCTTTTGCTGAGCAAACTGTCTAAGCTTTCTTGCTGAGGATTATCATCCGTGTTTATCATCGTGTGTTTAATGACAATGTTATGAACTACTTTGAAAGGTCCAAAATCAAGGTTGAAGCAGCCAACCCTGGATTCTTTAAAAAAAAGCAACAAAGAACTCATGAGACAAAGTGCTCGTAAGACAGTCACCAAAGAGGGCTAGGAGGCGATGACTCCTCTCCTTCCACCTCCTGTCCTGCATGCTGAACAACACTTAGGCAAGATAAAGTACCGTATTTTTACATTTCCACAGAATTTTTCAGTGTTATTGTTAAGTGGTTGTATTTGGGGCCTGAACGATTAATCCTAACTAATCCTAATGCTATAACGAACGAGGTTCTAGAACCACTAGATTCGTTATAGCATACCCCACTGTACCTTGACTTTAGCAAAGCCTTCGACAGGGTCCCCCACAAAAGACTAATACTGGTACAGTACATAAAGTGGAGGCTTATGGAATTGGAGGAGATATTCTAAACTGGATTAGGGCGTGGTTACACAACAGGAAAGAGAGAGTCAACATTAATGGCATGAAATCCGATTGGGGTACTTTCACTATAGCATTTCCAAGTTAACCTGGCCCATAAGCGCCCTTGTCTATTGCAACAAATAGCTGATTGGTTCAGAAAAATATTTGTGTAGCTGTCAATTTATTCAAACTAAATGTGTTCACAATTGCTTAGCAGACCTGTTCTATTCTAAAATAATGTTAAATATCTGGAATGTCAAAATTCAAATGATTTCAAGGTATTAATACTTCAGAAAGGATGTTAGAAATTTTTAAATATTTATCATAAAAGGTCTAAGTCAAAGATGAAATTTGCTTCAAGAAGTCTTCATTATTTCTTTGTTTTGTACCATTTTGCACTATTCCAGATGATACTAAATGTTACATCATACTTCCTTGAGATAAATGTATAGTATATATCAGGTGCCTACAGGAAAGCTCACATTCTCAACTGGCTTAGCCATGTTAATATTGTTATTATTATCCCGTATCTGTGTTTTCTGCTAAATAAACTGTTTCAATTCAATTCAATAAACAAACAGAAACAAATGACACCAAACATATAGCACAATATGTAATGAACTACAGTTTGTACGGCTGGACTTATCCCAAATCATTGATATAACTCCATATAAATACATGCTTATATACGCGTAGTCCGGGGGAAGGTAACACTCAGGGGAACAGCCACATGACTTGGCGGGAATTTCGCTCATCTGGACGCACAAGTTACACAACAGTCAACAGATGTCAACGCTGTGGTACTTAACCAACAAAAATATTTCTCACACCCATGAGCAGATTAGTAAATACTTTATCCACTAACTTGGCATCTCCCCATCTTAAATACTACATTGTGACAAGATTTAAGTAATAATATATCTTTAAGTATTAAGAAGCGATGTAGAGGTTTAACATTTTCATCCTCTGTCATCAAGTGTAAAAAGTATGGTGCAAATGAATAAAATCTCAACCAATGATGGACAAGTTATAGTTAATTTGTGTGTCATAGTATTCTAATGTGAGCTCTACTGTACTGGCAGTACGAGTCAAGTGTCCAGCTGATCACCCATCAATGTGACGCCAAGTCCAGTGGCTGTTCCCTGAGTGTTTACCTCCCCACAGACTGCACATATTTAGTATTTTGAGTTTATCAGTTATATAAATGATTTGGGATAAGTCCAGCCGTACAAACTGTAGTTCATTACCTATTGTGCTATATGTTTGGTGTCATTTGTTTCTGTTTGTTTGTTTGGTACAAAACAAAGAAATAATGAAAAGACTTCATTCAAAAGTGAATTTCATCTTTGACTTTGACCATTTACGATAAATATTTAACATTTTCTAACATCCTCCCTGAAGTGTTAATGCCTTGAAATCATTTGCATTTTGATAGTCCAGATATTTAACATTATTTTAGAGAATAACAGGTCTGCTTACCAAGTGTGAACATATTTAGTTTGAATAAATGGACAGTTACACAACCATTTTCTATGAACCAATCATGTATTTTTATAGGTGAAAAGTGTGGCTTATGGGCCAGGTTAGTGTGGAAATACTATGGTGGAGTTATCCCAAGGCTCAGTACTTGGACCATTACTATTTCTCATATACATAAACAACATAGATATAGGCGTAGACAGCAACACAAGTAAATTTGCTGTGACACTAAAATAGGGTGTGTAATTAAATATGATGTGGACTCCGCAAAATTAGAGGAAGATCTAAACAAATTTTTTGCATGGTCTGAAAAATGGCATATGAAATTTAATGTTGAAAAATGTAAAGTACTTAGTCTAGGAGATGTAAGTAGGGAAACCATATAGCAGTTGAACAAATCGTTATAGAGAAATCCGACTGTGATAAAGATTTAGGTGTAATGATAAGTAAGAACCTTAAACCAAGACAACAATGCATACTTGCTCGAAACAAGGCTACCAAAGTACTTGGGTTAGAAGACTACTGTAGTGAGGTTATCCTAAAACTATATCTTGTGCTTAAGAGACCTTACTTGGATTACACGGTTCAGTTCTGGTCATCGTACTACAGAATGGATATAGAATCCCTGGAAAGCATTCAGAGGAGAATGACAAGACTAATCCCTTGCATTAAGAACCTTTATTACTGAGACAGGTTAAAGCATCTTAATTTGCACTTCCTTGGGAGATGTAGAGTGAGGGTCGATATGATCAAGGTGTATAAATGGAAGTCAGGAATAACCCTTAAGGCCCAGGTTAGGGTGCCGCTGGCAGTACACCCAATTGGGGTAAATAGAAAATAAAACTTTTCCAAAAATAATTTTTAACCTTAAATGATAAAACAAAAAAAAAAAGTAAAAAACTATATATTGACCCTCTATAAACTTCCTGTCACAGTGGTGAGGGAAATAAAGGGACAGTGTTGTTTTGACAGCTGACCTTCGTGGTCACTACACACTTAGCGGTCATTTTTTGCTTGCCTCTGTGTCCAGGATGGCCAGTAATGCATATATTTACTGATCATAATACTTATTTCCTATAAATAATTAATTTAGAATATTTTATTTGCATTATTTTTTATAAAAAGTGTTCAGCAACACACACAGTCGGTCGCCAGGCTGTCGCTGTCTTGTGTTTGGTGAGCAAGTAATTCATAAAATAATAATAATTCTACAAATAAATACATTCATAACATAATCATAGCATTATTTTCCAGTAATACTACACTTCTATACAACTACACTACTTTTAGCAATATTACTTTGATACAACATGATAAAATGGACAAACAATGGAAATGAAACAAACAAAAGTAGGTACAGTAATTACGTTCAGGAAGCTTCCCTGTGGCCGAGCGTGTGGTGTGACAGGTAAATAGTCACACTGGAACCTGGTAACCCACTGGGCATTTAAACAGTGGTGGAAAATGGCGCGCGTCTTAGTACAGTACATCCCCAGGCACGCCAGTTGGGTGTCTTAGTACGTCACCCGGGGCGTAAGGGTTAAACAAAGGTGATATAACAAAGGCACTTACACTATTCAATCAAGAGCAAAATTGTAGCAATGGTTTTAAATTAGACAAATTTAGACTTAGGTGCGAGATAGGTAAACACTGGTTTGGAAATAGAGTAGTTTCCTCCATTCTTATGTTCTTAATGAGTTAATAATGTGACCACAAGCAAAGTACTTCACAACCTCACCTGAGTTTTGTCAACGGAGATATTCGCTGCAGTCTCATTAAATACATGGTCCCACCAGTGAAACTTGAACTCCTCTGCAATATCATGACCAAGACCAGAACTATCAAACTTAAGCTTTGGTTTGATGGCCTTGGTCATTCCACTCTCCTCTCGGCCCAAGCCTTTACCTGCACCATAAACATAATATGCAATTACACTTATTGGTTGATAAACATTATATGCAGATAGCTGTGTTTCTAGTCCAGGAGAGAAAAAATGCTGGGACTTAAGGTAATAACTAGATTAGTACACATAACTATGGAATGTAGTAAGATACAAAAACATCTCCAAGCAACAAATGTAAAATCTTAACATTTACAACAAAAGTAAAACAAATGCTTTATGGTGATTATCCAGCAAACAAATTCATCCTTGCACAATCTCTCATGGTAAGAATCCAAGAGAAGTAGACTGAATCTAACCTCTAATGTGAAGGAAATGCTTTATTCCCAGATGAAGTATCAGCAAAAGCACCCCAGTAATATGCATAACCACTATTGTACAGGACCTCTTTCCTTGAGATAATTGACAAAGAAAGAGATCTAGATAAATTCTGCTTTCATATACAGTACATACCACAACTGATGTGTTATTGAAAAAAAAAACCCTCAAATGTAGCTGAGAAGTAAGAAGGGAACAAATACTGGTAGCTCATTCTAGTTGATTGGTAACCTTGACACAGGAAAAAAAATCTCCCTAATAAGTAATCTCTCTCTTAACCAAAATCTTCTATCCCTGGAACTCTCCAATAGCTGGATTTTTTAGCATTCCGAGAAATTTCTGAAGAAAAAAATCTCCATTCTGGGAATGGGAATGAATTTTAGAGGATTGCATCATGTGTCCTATGTGTGTAGGCTCAATGTGTGAATTTTGCATTCCAATGAGGTGGGTGAAGCTTTCTCTAACTTAGATAACCTAGTGGCCTAATAATATGGACATGCAGCCTGTTGGCTTGGTAGCCACAATATTACAGCCATGGAGTCACTTTGTTAGCCAAAGCACCAAAGGCTCAGAGGCCACAGCCAACTTGTTACTTTACAGGGGTATAATCAAAGTAAATGGAAGACCTAATCACATCTTGAAATGTATGCAAAGTGAGATTTGTATTTTGATATAGAGGCTATATGGGTCATAAGTTCATAAAAATAAAAAAGAAAAACAACATAAAATGTGGTTTAAGTTTTGGAAAATGGAACACTATATCTCTTGAACTAAATGTGCTGGTACAATCATTCTTGTAACAAATTGAAGGTTACATATTCAGGATTATGTTGCCATAATCAGATGATAACTATCCAGTCGTAATCTATTTGTAATCATGAAAATGATCATAACCATAGCAATTTGGAGGCATTACATTTTGATTTAATTTGAATATTTTGATATAGGATACTCATGTACAGTCGGCCACAGGCATAAGTATACACACTGTAGCTGTAAGGTCCGAAAATGGTCTGGTAACGTTGAAACTACGCAACCAGACGCATGATGAAACTCGGTTCCCCCCCCACCTGTTATCTCTATTTTCTGTTTCCCCTGCTTTATTCTTCTATTTACTCCTCTTCCTTCCTTTACTAATCCAAACATCAGTATAAAAGTAGGGTAAGAGAAAAAGTGGGGGAGGAGGAGGGAGCTGTATGATAACTGCAATCCCATTCGGCAACAAGTTTACTACCATTGGATACAATATATTACTTGTAATATAAACACAACACACTACTAAAACATTCACAACAAATGTATTTATAACATATATGTAGGAATAAAACAAAAATTACAGGTCATTTTGTAATTTTGTCTGTTCTGTTCAGGACGGTGTTACCAGATATTTTGTCTCAAACACGAACCGTAGGAGTACGTATACTTATCTGGCCGACTGTACATTATAACAAATAATGTAATCATAGTCACTAGGTACTGAAAATGTGATCACCATAACCATATTTTCTGACAAAAAATTGATGTAGTCCCCAAAAAAGTATTGTTAAATTTTTCGTCGCTACAATTTGAAACGCTAGATAAAATGGGGGTAGGATTATGGGACGGAATTTTCATTGTATGGCATACTAAATACATACTTTAATAAATAAAAAATCCAGTGTTATATTAATGTACAGGTATGTATAATGCTGGTTAGAAGCAAAGTATATGTCAACATGCTACTAACTGATGATTACAATAACACTGAAATATACAGTACATTAAATGTAAGTGTTTCAGAACATCATAACCAAGACCTCAAAACGAACATTTCACCATTACGTCGTTGTACCTTTTACTTTTATCCTCTTCACCACTGATCTGTTCGTAAGCCTCTCGGGCAATCAGTCACGTCTCTGTTACGCACTGTTGGCAAGAAGTGGGTATGCACTGGCTCCTGAATGTATCTGAATCTGCTCCAGTTTTAGTCAAGTCTGGTCTTGAAAGAGCTCACACTCGGTGCCATCACAACACTGGCAGGTTGTTCTATGAGTTCACAACTCTCACTCTGAAAAATTTTGCCCTCACAGTTTTCTGGACTTGTGGCTTCTTCAACCTGGAGCTGTAACCCCTTATGAAATGAGCATCTGCCAGCTCCAGGTAAGGACACTTGAGTGAGTAGTGCCCCTTGAGATGTTTATACACCTCAATAAAGGTCTCTCCTTGCCTGTCTGTAGTATAACCTAGGCAATTGCAGGCACTCTAATCTCTTAAGGTAGCTGAGGTGCCAGAGTGCAGGCACCAGTCTGGTGGCCCTCCTTTGGACATTTTCAATCAACTGACAGTCCCTAGCATATCTCGGGGTCAGACGGGGAAACACCTTGTTCTTGAAGATCGTTATGAGGGACGGACCATCTAGATATCTGAATGATCTTTTATAAGACCTAATAATTTAGTTGCTTGGTTCATATTCTTCTCACAATGGCCTGAGAACTTCAGCTCATTGTCAACATACACATCTAGGTCCTTTTCGCATAGTCTCAATTAATACAGTTTCTTTTTCCCGTTGGGACGTGATACGCCTCCTCACCGTTGATACGCCCCAGGTGCATCCTCTTACACTTCGTGACATTGAATCTTAGCAGCCATTTCTTCAACCATTCTTGAAACTCACAGAGATCCTCCTGCAGCTCTTCAGTCTGTTTGGTTCTTAATTTCCCTAAATAACTTGGCATTATCCACAAACATTTGTATGGAGGAGTGTATAGCTTCAGGCATGTCATTTATGAAGCCAACAAACAACAGCGGGCCCAATACACTGCCCTGTGGTACCCCGCTTGTGATGGGTACACATGACGATTTTGTGCCATTAAACACCACACACTGGTTGCGATCATGGAGAAAGTCTGATCCATGTTAGGACATTTACCCGAATCCCGTGCCCTTCTAGTTTAATTTTCAACCTTTCATGGGGTACACTGTCGAAAGCCTTGGCAAAATCTAGGTATATATTGTTGATATTACCACCCTGTTCTGATATGATAATCATTTCTTGTGCAAATGCTTTGTTTGGTAGATAATTAGGCTCCTAGGTGCAGACTACTTTGTCTTCTTGGTGGTAATGAGGCGGTGACGTCTCATCCCAGGATGTAAACAACCAATCATATTGATGAATTTCAAAACACTCCGCTGCCTGGGCTTGATCAACACCGATTGCTTAGTGTATGCTTAAGAATCGTTCAGTACGGACAGCTGCTCTCACGTCCATAAAAACCGTAAAATTACACCATATCATAGTAGGTTCTTTCTGTTTAATATGCCAGGGGGGTCCAGGGGGCTCAGCTAGGAAGTTTGTTAAGGTTAGGTGCATTTGTTTGGTTAGGTTTGGTTGGTGCTTCTGCTGTTTGCTTTTCTTATCAAAAAAGGTTAGGTTAGATTTAATGGTAATTATATAGGACTAACCAGTGAGCGAAATTTATTGAAAAACATTATGAAAACACCTGATTTTCACTGTTATATTATAGTGGACACTGTTGCAGTTTGTGAAAATATGTTGAAAATTAGATATTTTAAAAATAAACATTACTTAAATTTGTGGGTATGAAAAACAGACCTAACCAAACAAACCTACCTAACCTTATTAAATAGAAAGAACTTGCTATGACATGGTTTAATTTGAGGCATTTTCTGGACATGAGATGATACAGCCGCATTGACGCTATGCATCCCGGGCGGCTGAGGGATTTACTGTGTTGGCGGGTACCACAATAAATGATTATCATATCACAACTCATTGATGAAAATAATGTGAGAAAATAGACAGTCTTTTTGTAAAGGAACAATGCCATGATCTTTAAATAATTGAAGGGTCTCATTGTCTTTACCCCTAAATTCACAAATTATGTCCATTTAAGATGGGCAACATCCTTCACATGACATGTTGAAAACAAACTGCCCCAGGTGCGGTAAAAGCGCCTTGGCTAAGCGCGGCCTCATTACCAACCGCAAGCTATACTAGTGCACGCCTAGGTGCCTAATTATCGGTATTATTGCGTTTTCACACCCCACCTTCCTACCACTAATCTATTATCATATTCTAATAAGACATCTAATTATAAGATAATTTTCATCTATTACATTACCGTCGCAAATGTATAATAACGGAGATAGCATATCCAAAATTTTCTCTATTTTCTTCCATTAATCTTCCACCATTATCGCCTACCTCACCTCCCACACTGCATGTCTCCTTCATAAATCATCACGCGCATGCATTCCCGTACACGTCACGCGACCAATCAAAAGCGTTTTTTTTTTTTTTTTTTTTTCAACCAATTAAAATAATTTTTGGTTTAATTTAAGGTATTTTTGGCCCAATCAAAATCGATTTTTATTTTGGGTCTCATATTTCCAAATTCATATTCATTTCCGACTATGGAAGTCTGTGATGGGTGTCACTTAAATTATATGGAGCCGATTGCGAGTTTTTGGGAAAAAAACGAAGAAACTACAGCAATTTTTCGATCGCATGGTGTTCTTCCAACCTCAGTAAAGTGTACTAAGTGCAAGACGGAATGTAAATATCGCAAAGACCAACATATGTGGCGTTGGGTAAGACTCTCAGAATGCAACGACGAACAAGAACCAGGCCAATAGGGAAATTAATTGGTGATTCCATCATATGGTGAGAGTCAGTTAGGTTAGGTTTGGTTTTTGTTTTACTAGTGTTTTATGGTGTATTTTTTATTAGCTTAGCCATTATTATTTTTTCGGAAAACGTCCCACGAAAAAAAATTGATAAAAAAAAAAAACCCGGCCAATTTCCGACGGAAATAAAGGTCATATTCGGTCTAAACACAAATACACTAGAAAAATATATTTTTGACTCTAACAGAGTGGGGCGTGCAAGTGCAAATTTACCTAATTATCTATGAAACGAACAATTTCCACAATAAATGAATATCATATCAGAACTCACTGATGAAAATACTGTAAGAAAATAAACAGTAATAAAAATAACTCGCTCACTGGTTAGTCCTATATATTAACCGATTTAATTTAGAAATAACCAGTTTTTAACACATTTGGACAAACGATGAATGTCCACTATAAAACAGTGAAATTAAAGCGTTTTTATAATCGTTTTCTAAGAAAAATCGGCCGCTGGTCAGTCGTCAATAATTACCTAAATTCATCTTCAATGAAAAAACCATTGGCTGTGCAGTCATAAATAATTACCATGGGTGTGACTAAACACCTTGCTGCTGATACACAAACTTTGGGGGTCAATCCTATAGCGATGATTGGGTACCACCAGTATATATTAATGTCACTAATAAACACACAATTAAAAATGAAGGAAATCATGACTAGTTTATACCTTCTTTCCATCCATATTTCTCAAGTTCTAACTGAGCAAACTTAAGTCCAGAACTAGTCATTTTATAACTAAGCTTCTCCAGACACCACACGAGGTCCTCCCGTACCCCAAAGACTAATACAGATAAGACTTTGGTGACACTTAACTATTAGAAGGCATTCATTGCTAAATATAAAGATCATTTGAACTTTAATTACAATTATATTAAATAAATAGCCCAAACTAGGGACCAATGCATATCTTTATCGCCAAGGTTAAAGAGACAAGAAAAGTTGTAAAGTGTAAACTGTGTTGATTAAAGTTGTCAAGTTGTTTACTATTACTGCCTCTCACTGAAGATATTAGCCGCACACTTAGGTATTTTATTTTGGGGATATGACAGTTGAAGTTACCACCTAATAATATTTTCATCATTATATTATATATTTGTCACGTTAACTGCTGGTTGACCATTAGGCATTAACAATTTTGTTCACGGATTTTAAGGCAATCGGTTTTGCGCAAACAATCGAGGCAGACGAGGAAATGTAAACAAGACATAAACAACAATAAACAGGAAGACTTGACGGTTTGAAATAATCCCGAAATTAATTCTTCCGATTCCCGTGCAGAGACTATTGAGATTGTTCTCTGCTAGCTGCGCGATTATTTTCCTCTATCATGGCCATTTATTTGACATATATATATATATATATATATATATATATATATATATATATATATATATATATATATATATATATATATATATATATATATATATATATATACATATATACATACATACATACATACATACATTCATACAACCCTCCTCCCCACCGGAATATCAACAAGTTCTCGCCAGAAGTTACAATTTCATTTAGGAAAGGAACGGAACCAGTGTTAAACCGAGGTGAACAGTGGTGAACAGTGCTTAAGTCAGTGAGAACAACTCAACAGTAACAGTCGCACCCAAGTTAACCTTCACACAGTGAGGTCCCAGGTACCCAGTGGTAACAGCCCCCGGGAGACCCAACAACAACCACCGATGTGTTAATCCGTCTACGATAGGAAGGCCTGGGACCAAACCTCACTCATATAACACCATCTGTAAGGGAATTACTACACCACGTGAGGTCCCTCATAACACCATCTGTGAGGTAATTACTACACCACGTGAGGTCCCTCATAACACCATCTGTGAGGTAATTACTACACCACGTGAGGCCCCTCATAACACCATCAGCGAGGGAATTGTAGGGGTATCGAGATATTAATGTTGTCAAGCACTCAGGATGGAAGGAAACTCTAATGTGGTTTTCTTGTATAATATAAGATATATGATAGACAGTCTGGTGCTGGAGGTGCAGAATGAGAGTTGGTTGGTGAGGAAGCTCAGAGGACGGCTGGTGGGTCGCCATGCTCGCTGGCGGGAGCGAGGACCGCCAGGCAGGCGAGGAGAAACGAAGGGCAGCCAGGCAGCGGCGGAGGAGGAGGTGTTGCTTGTTCAAGAAGATTGGTCAGAATCAATCTCAATGGAGAGACAGAGCTTATATACCCAGCAGCCGCTATGAGTCATGTTGGGAAAACCCGAGAAGTCGCCGGCCTTTTGGCTCCGTTGCTAGGATACGGCGGGCATTGGAATGCGGATACGCTTGGTTGCTAGGGAAGACGGTAGCAGGTGGTGTGCAGCTACGCAGTTTGTAGGAGAGACGTCCACTACAGAATTACTACACCACGCCAGGTCCCTCATAACAACATCTGAGGGAACTATTGCACCACGTGAGTTCCTCCTAACACCATCTGGGAGGGAGTTACTACACTACGAGTTTGCTGTTCAACACCTACATTAATCTGTATGTTCACTGTATGTTCCTTTACCTTTCTCTAATGAAGGCTTTTGTTAAACCACCAATGTATGTAATGTCATTTATGTCCAATGTATATTTTCAGCCTTTGGGCTGCAGAATTTTTTCAATAAACCGTTAATTATTATTATTATACATACATACATATATATTTATTAGGGTTGCCATATCTGAACATTCAAAAAAGAGGACGCCCCCGTAGACATCCCCCCCCCACCCGCCCGGCACACACAGGCTAATATACAACATACATGGTATAGAAATCTTTAAAAAAATTACCTTTGCTTAAGGCTGAACATCTTCATTCCCTTAGCTGCTGTCTTCTCCCCCACTGTGTGTGGTGTGCCCACCCATACTTTTCTGTAGATCGGATCTTTTTCAGTATTGGTTGATTGCTCTTTAGAAAGGTATAGAAGTCACTGCAAGGTGTTTCTCGGAAGTTGTACTGTACAGGCAGAATGTCTTTCATTGTTTAACACTCAATTTGTTCCTTTCTTTTGTCCATTGGCTTTGCATCAGTGAAAAAACTTTCTACATTTGCATTGCGAGATGATATAGCAAAGAAGAATTGTGCAATTCTTAGCAATTCTGAGTGACATTCAATGTTCTTTGATTTTCAAAGTATCTGGTCCACTTTTTGTGCTGGCAGATTACTAAATTCTTCATCACTTGTAATTTTCCACAAACTGCTTCAGGTTACTAACTTGGTCAAAACACTTCATCAACTTCTACCCCCTTATCAATCAAATATTTGACAGCTAAGTTGACAACACCGTACAGGCGTACAAGTGACTTATCAGCTGACGAAAACTGAACGAGATCTCTGCGGTTTCCACCTTCCCTCTCTCTCTCTCTCTCCCGTCATTACAGTTTCATGTTTTTTTTCCGTGGAGAAAATGATGGAAGCTGAAATTCCGGACTTTTGAAGAATTTTAAAAATTCCTTCCGGATGAAGATTTCGAGACCTAAATGGAGGACATGTCCGGGAAAATACGGACGTATGGCAACCCTAATATATATATATATATATATATATATATATATATATATATATATATATATATATATATATATATATCACTATTCCTATGACCGCTTTCATTATTTTGTTCACTAAGTCTATCCCTCCTGTTCCTGATCTTGTAGTGGAGTCCTCCCCTACAAACGCCGTGTGTCGCTGACTGGCCGACCCCCCGCGAATCTACCGGCGTATCCCTCGTGGTCAAGGTCAGGTAACCAACGACGCCGAACAAAGCGGGGGCCTTCCATCAAGCCACGCCTACCGCGGTTATATAAGACCTCACCTGGCCTTCATCGTCCTCTTACTACTTACCGCCACCAGCAAGCAACATCTCTCAACAGCTCCATACACACACTCCCTCAGAAAGCTCCTCGCCCTACAGGAACTCTGAGCAAGCTTCGCCCGACTTAGTATCTCTTTAACACTGTGCTGTGCAACAATATATATATATACGAGAAACACTGCGATTTTCTATTTCTACCTCAATCCTGAGTGTTGGATATATTTCATGTACGTACATTGTGAGGCCAAATAAGAGACCCTGACAACCTGCCACGACACTACGCTACAATCTACCCCTCCTGCATGCTCTTTGCCTCAGTCTTCTATGTTCTCCCTTTCTCCATTTATTGTATATACTTATCCTGCCCACCTATACTATACCTACTTCCAACTAATTCCCCCCACCCCCCCAAAAAAAAAAAAATTTCTTCACCCATTTCTTTATCATATCCAATAACCTCCTCCTTTCCTCTAATTTTACTGCACAAATTCTGATACACACAAAGGAGTCCAACGTACAGTAAATGGTTAACCACTGACAAAATATTTGTTTTATATATACAGTATTTTTATTTTTTGTTTTGTTCTTTAGCTCACCTGGTTTTAGTGACTTAGATACATGTTCAATCTTTATTATGATTTTAATTGACTGCAGCGTTTGTACGTGTTTGTATGTTTCATTCGTTTTTACTCTTCATTGTACGTCTCTGCTTCCCAGGGGATATATTTTTGACATGACTAGTTACGTCACCCTTTCTTATAAGCTCCTCTTATGTTTGCGGTAGTGTTGGTGTGTGGATTAGTGGATGTCATGTTTTTGACGTGACCTCATGTTTTGTAAGATCACCCCGTGTACATAAGCCTCTCTCAGTCCTTGTAATTCAGTTGCCTCTGAAGATGTCTTGAATAAAGACGAAAGCTAAGGTGCTCCATTAATAATCACACAGGAAAAAGGGAAACACTGGAGCACCTTAGCTTTCATCTTTATTCAAAACAACTTCAGATGTCTTGAATAAAGACGAAAGCCAAGGTGCTCAGTGTTTCATAAGACCATAAGAACAGGAATGGAGGAAACTGCAGCTGGCCTATTGGCCCATACTGGGCAGTCCCATTTGCACCCAACCCTGTAGGTAGTGTAGTGTATGTGACCAGCTGTCTATTTTCTCTTTGTTAGGTTTATATATATATATATATATATATATATATATATATATATATATATATATATATATATATATATATATATATACAGAACAGTCTGGTGCTTGTATTTTGAGTTTATTTGATTTTGTTATAGTGTTGAGTGGAATTGGGGGATATTCCAGGTGTGGTCTGACTAGTGCTTTGTAAAGGTGTAGTTGTGTATTGGTGTTTAATTTGCGGAATCTTCTGAGTTTAGTTAGTTGGGCCTTGGCTTTTGCAATTCTTTCTGTGATATGTGGTAGTATACCGTTCCTTGTGATTTTGAGGCCGAATTTTCCCATTTTCTGCGTATGGAATGTTTTGATTGTTGACCATGATTGGTTAAGGTCTGGTTTTAGCTATATGAATTATATTCAGTTTTTGTGTTTGTTTTAATTTTCCATTTCCTTTCATAATTGTTTATGGTTTATATTTCTCTGCTTGTTCTGACTGCCATCATTTGTTTGGATTTCCCTGGGTATTGTATAATTTGGGTTACGTCGTCTGCGTATGCAATGTACTCTGAGTTTCTTGGTTTGGGCATGTCCGTTGTATATATGGTGTATAGTGTTGGTGATATGTTGCTGCCTTGGGGTACTCCACTGTAAAGGGTGAAGTTTTGACCTCTGTAGTTGTCGATGGTGAGTTTGCGTTGTCTCTTGTCAAGGAAGTTGCAGAGGAGAGCCGTGTTGTTGGGTGCCATGTTGAGTTGGATGATCTTGTATTTGAACCCTTCATGCCATACTTTGTCGAAGGCTTTGTTGACATCTCTGAGTACTGTTACATTGGTTTCTGTTGCTGGCTGCATTTGCGATGGATTTGTATATTAAGGCTATTAGAGTGTTGGTGCCTCGGCTTTTCCTGAAGCCGTGTTGCCTATGGTTGTATTTATCTTCATACTCTAGGTGGTTTCTTAGTCTCTGGTTTATTATTTTTTCAAATATTTTACCAGGCGTTTCGAGGAGTGATATGGGTCTGTAGTTTCCTGCCTGTGTTGGGTTCTTTCCTTGTTTTGGAATGAGTCTTATTTTTGCCATTTTAAATTTGGATGGGAATAATCCGCTTGCTATTGAAGCATTGAAGATATCTGCAAGCTGTTTGATGGTGGTATGTTTTACAGCACGGTTTTGTTTATTTGACTTGTTCCTGGCCATTTATTCTTGAAGATGGTA